GAGTTTCAATTGCTTTTGTTTTTCTAGCTCTTTGAGATGCATTATCAGGTTGTTTCTTTAAAGCTTTTCTACTTTTTGGATGTAGACACTTATTGCTGTAAACTTTCCTCTTATTATAGTATCCCATATTGTGCAATTTCCATGTTCTGCTTGCTACTGATTTATAGTTTTATTCTATTGTGGTCATAGAAAACAGTAAAGTCCCTGGGATTTTCCAGGTATAAGATTATATCATCAGCAGAGAGTGAGAGTTTGATCTCCTTTGACTCTATTTGGATACCCCTGATCTTCTTCTCTTGCCTGATTATGGTGGCTAGGACTTCCATTACTATGTTGAATAGCAGTGCAAATAGGGGGCACCCTTGCCTCGTTCCTGATCTTAGTGGAAATGTTTTCAATTTTACACCATTCAATATAATATAGGCTGTGGGTTTGCTGTAGATGGCCTCTTATCAGTTTAAGAAATGATCATGAAAGGATGCTGGATATTATCAAAGGTTCTTTTCTGTGTCAATTGAGAGAATCATATGGTCTTTGTTTTTTATTTTATTGATGTGATGTATTATATTTATTGATTTGCATATGTTGAACCATCTCTGTAACCCTGGAATAAAACCAACTTGATCATGGTGCATAATTTTTTTGATGTGTTGTTGAATTATGTTTGCTAAGATCTTATTGAATATTTTTGAATATCTTATTCAAATTTTCTATTTCTTCATGGCTCAATCTTGGTAAGTTGTATTTAGCAAGAATTTACCCATTTCTTCTACATTTTCCAATTTATTGGTGTATGATTGCTCATAATTGTCTATGATGATTGTACTTCTTATATTTCTATGATTGTTCATTAATGACATTGGCCTATAATTTTCTTGCTTTGTTGGATCCTTTCCTGGTTTGGGGATCAGGGTGATATTTGCCTCATAGAATATGTTGGGAAGTATTCCTTCTTTTTCTATGCTTTGGAAAACATTGTATAATATAGGTACTAGTTCCTCTTGAAAGGTTTGGTAGAATTTGGATGTGAAGTCATCTGGTCCTGGACATTTCTTTTTAGGAAGATTTCATATTGTTGATGCTATTTCAGTGGCTGATATAGATCTATTCAGGATTTCTAATTCTTTCTGGTTGAGTATAGGAAGGTGGTGTGCTTCTAAGTATTGGTCCATTTCCTTCAGATTTTCATATTTCTGGGAAGAGAGATTTTTATAGTAATCCCTGAGGATTTTTTGAATTTCTGAAGTGTCTGTTGTTATTTCTCCTTTATTGTTTCTGGTAGACAATATTAGAGATTTTACTTTTCTATTTCTGGTTAGGTTGGCCAAAGATTTATCAATTTTGTTAATCTTTTCAAAACCAACTTTTTGTTTCATTGATCTGAATGGTTCTTTTGTTTTCAATTTCATTTAATTCTGCCCTAATTTCTTTTCTTTTTCTTTTCTTCTTCTGGGTTTGGGGTTGCAATGCTCTTCCTTTTCTAGTTGCTTGACATGATCCATTAAGTTGTTGGCTTCCTCTCTTTCTGTTTTCTTGATGAAGGCTTCCACTGCTATGAATTTCTCTCTGAGGACTGCCTTTGCAGTGTCCCATAGGTTTTGATAATTTGTGTCTTCATTCATTTTGTTCCAAAAATTTGGTGATTTCCTTCTTAATCTCATCTTTGACTCAGCTATCATTCAACCTAAGATTATTTAGCTTCCATGACTTTGTTTGAGCATGAAGATTTCCATTGCTGTCTGAGAAGATACAAGGAATAATTTCTATTCTTTTAAATTTGCTGAGATTAGACTTGTGTCCTAGGATATGATCTATTTTGGAGGATGACCCATGGGCTGATGAGAAGAATGTATATTCAGTTTTATTAGGGTGAAATGTTCTGTAGAGGTCTGTAAAGTCCATTTGTTCTAGAGTCAGGTTTAAGTCTAATATTTATTTGTTTAGTTTCTTCTTGGAGGATCTATCCAAAACTTTCAAAGGGGTGTTAAAATCTCCAACTATTGTAGTGCAGGAAAATATCAAGTTGTTCATATCCATTAGGGTCTGCTTTATGAATTGAAGAGCAATTTGGTAGGGTACATAAATGTTAATTATTGAAATCTCTTCATGTTGGGTGTTTCCCTTGACAAATATGTAGTGACCACCTTATCTTTCTTTATCTTTGTTAGTTTAAAGCCAATTGTAGCTGCTACTAAAATTGCAACCCCTGTTTTTTTCTGTATTATACAGTTTTGCCTATATGATACAAGTCTATCCCTTCACCCTGAGTCTATTTTTATCCTTTAAGGTAAGGTGAGATTATTGTGTACAGCATATATCTGGTCTGAGTTTTTGTATCCAGTCAGCCAGCCTGGGCCTCTTTAGAGGACAATTTAAAACATTGACATTAATTGAGAGAACTTAAAAGCCTGGTTGTGGTTTGGGTGTCATGATTTTTGGATGTCCAGTGGACATTTTTAATCCTTTCACCACTGTGGAAGTTGGGTTTTGTTCAAAAATTTCTGGGTGAGTATACTTTGAAGGTAGAGCATTGCACTGGTCATTGTGGAGGATGGGTCTGAGAATATCTTGGAGAGCTAGTTTAGTTATGGCAGATTTCTTCAACTCTTCAACATGTCTATGTCATTAAAGTATTTGATTTCTCCATCACAAATGAAACTCATTTTAGCTTGATACAATATCCTGGGCTTGAAGTTGTTTTGTTTTAGGAGACTGAAGGTTGATGACCATCTTCTTCTGGCTTGAAATGTTTTGGCTGGGAGATTTGCATTCATTCTGATATTTCTCCCTTTGTAGGTGATGCTTTTATGATGTCTGGCTGCTTGCAGAATTTTCTCCCTCATCTTAACTTTGGCAAATTTAATCACAATGTGTCTAGGAGATGCTTTATTTTGATTGAGTCTTGCTGGGGTTCTGAAACTGTCTGCTATCTGAAGTTCTGTATCTCTTGCAATGCTTGGGAAATTCTCCTTCAAAATCTCTTGGAGTAGAGCATCTGTATCTTTAGGACCATCCTGTTCTCCTTCAGGAATTCCTATAAGATGAATGTTTGTTCTTTTCTAGTGATCCCACAGCTCTCTCAGGGAATGGTCAGTTTTTGCTCTCCATTGTCTGCCTCTGAGTGTTTGGGAACATTCAAAAGCTTTGTCTTCAGTTTCAGAGATCCTTTCTTCTGCCTAGTCAACTCTATTACTGAGGTATTCTACTGTATTTTGGAGCTCCTCAACTAACTTTTCATTTCCCTGAGCTCTGCTACCTCTTTTCTCATTATATCCATATCTTTGGTGACTTGGGCTTTGAATTCGTTAATTTCTTGAGACAACTTTAGGACTACTCTTTGGAATTCAATTTCTATCTTTTCTTCCATTCTATTTATTTTATTTGCAGTCCATATTCTGAATTTGATTTCTGGCATTGCTGCCATTTGTCTATGCATGGCATCTTCAGTTGTATCTCCTTTGTCATTTCTTGGGGGGGGGGTTAATCTACTTTGGTTATTTATGTTGCCAGAGTTCTTCTGTTGGGTGCACACCATGTTTATTTTCCACCATTTGGTTATTTGAATCAGTAGTGTGAAATTGAATTGGGGTTCCCATGTAGTAGAGATAGCCCCTTACCAAAGTGCTAGGCTTTGTAATTGTGACTTATCTCCAACAACCTTACAAAGGCCACTTTCAGAGTTTTAGCCAGAGACTCTGAGGACCCACTTGGTGAGATAGTGCAAGCTAGCTCTGTTTAACTATCAGCCAACCTCTACCCTATCCTAAGAAACCACAGTATTAGGTTTAAATCTCAATTGTGAAGAGTTACAAATAGCTGTGGTGTGCAGCCCCCACCCTTCATTTCTTTTCTGCTACAGAACTTTGAAGGTCAACCTCAAAATGTCCCTGAGTGGACAGCCCCAAACATGGCTTCCAACCAAATTGTTTCAGGCAGTGCAAACCCTGCCCAATAGAGATTCAAGGGTCTCCAACAGCACAATTGGAGCCAGGGATGCACACTCCCACCTGCCAGACTCTGTTCACACTGTTGTCCCTCCTCTGCTCACAAGGCCCAGCTGAAGCCAGGGGCCACGCCCCCACCCACTGATCTCAGTCCACATCCAGCTAGCCTCTGCTTGCCAGACAAGTTGGAGTCAGGGGAGCATGCCCCCACCTGCCATTCTCAGTCCACTGCTTGGCAAGCCTTTGTTTGTAGGCTCTGTTGGAGTCAGGGTACCAGGCCCCGCCCTCCAGTCTCAGTCCACACACAGCTAGCCTCTGCTTGCCAGATCAGTTTGAGTCAGGGAACCATGCTCCTGCCTGCCAGTCTCATTCCACTGCCTGGCAAATCTCTGTTCACTGGCTCTGTTAGAGTCAAGGCACTGCACTCTGCATGCAGGTCACAGTCCTCACCTGGTCTACCTGCAGTTCTCAGTCCTCACTTGGTAAGCCTTTGCTCACCAGCCCCTCTGGAGACCTATATTTCTAAATTTAGAACATTATTTCCCCTTTAGTGATATGACAAATATTAAACTCTATTATTGTTATTTATTTTATAATTTAATTCCTTACCATTCAATTTTAAATATATTTTAAACTTACTTTCCAAATTTAAATCATGACTTACTAGTAGCTATTAAATAATCATTTATATTATGATTAAATTTTTATTGTGTAAAATTTATATGAAGAATAGGCTTTATTTCAAGGCTATCTATCTAGTTCTAGTGATTTATGTCTACTATTCAGATAAGTACACTGTTGAATTATTGTTGCTATATGAAATATTTTAATTTGAGAGATAAGTTATTCATTTCCTCATTAATATTTTTGTATATCATCTTGATAATAATGCATACTTATTCTTATAGATGAAATATTTAATAATTTTTAAGCATAATTTCAATATCATCAGTATGGTTTCATACATTAAATATAAAATATGGGAATTAAAAGGGTTCCTCAATACAACAGTTTCCAAATACATGTAGGGTTATTTTATGAAAGGAAAGTAAGTTCTCACAATTGCTCAAAGGAATCCAACTCACTTCTTGATCTTGGTGAATGATGAACTTCAGATGCACGTGTACACTTTCTAGAACCCCATCTGAATTTTTCCATATTAGCTGGAGTTTGAACAATCATTACTTTTGTGAAATTTTCAGTGCCTTGTATCTAAAAGTTGACAGAATGCAAGTTAGTTTCTGAGCAGATATTATAAAATTAAAAATTTCTCTGGTAAGCTAGCCAGTATTTCAGGCCCTTTCTAACTATCTGGGAAAAAATTGAAAATATCAATAAATCAACACAAATAAGATAGATATTTTAAAATATCTGGATACATTGGTTTTGTGAAAGTCAATATTCCATACACTTTCATTAATTTTTAAATATTTTGTTATTTCTATCCCAAATTAGACGACTGAATTAATTGACAATGGTCCTTTAAAAACACCCATGGAATTTTTCTATATGGAATAAAGTTTAATAAACAATGGATTTCAAGAAATCATCCCATTTTGTGTTATTTTTGCAATGCTTTAAATCACATTGGTACCCATATCCACAATAAGCAAGACTCTATGTCCTAGGTATAGACAAAGTTGGGCAGGCATCAATCTGCCTTGAGAAACTCTTGCTTAGTTGTCTGAATTCCCAACCAGAACCTACATCAAGGTTATGTTATATGTTCAAAACGGAGGTCAAGAACACCATAGTTGGGGGGGATGGAGCCAAGATGGCAGACTGCAGCCAACTTCCTACAGAGGCTCCCATCCAGAAGGAGACTTAAAAGACAGAAGTCTGGCAAGTAAGCAGATGGTTTGGAGCTGAGCCAAGAGAGAAGACTGAAGAACCACAACAACTTTGCTGAGGTGAGATGTGACCCCCCAAAATATAATCAAGAGGTACAAAACCCACTACCAGTGGCAGCAGTGGAGTCCTCTGCTCATAGAGCCGCGTGCACCGCAGTTGGCGCCAGAGGAGCCCACAGCTCCTAGCAGGCCCATAACTACCTGCTAGAGCCACATGCGCCCCATGGGGGCAGGCTCAGAACTGCTTGCTAGAGCCAGGTTCACCCCTTGGGGAAATGGCAGAGGAGTCCCCAACTAGGGGCAGGCCCAGAACTGCTTGCTAGAGCCTCATGTGCCCTGCGGGTGGTGGCGGAGGAGTCTTCCACTCTGGGTGGGCCCAGAACTGCTTGCTAGAGCCACAGGTGCCCCATGGGAGCTGGCAGAGGAATCCCCCACTTCAGGCAGCCCAGAACTGCTGTCTAGAGACCCGTGTGCCCCATGGGGGCTGGCAGAGGAGTCCACAGCTGCGGGCAGGCCCAGAACTGCTTGCTAGAGCCACATGGCCCTGCAGGCAGCAGTGAAGGTGTCCCTTGCTCTGGGCAAGCCCAGAACTGCTTGCTAGAGCTGTGCATGTCCTGCAGGCAGCTGCGGAGGAGCCCTCCATTTCAGGAGGGCTTAAAACTGCTTGCTAGAGTCATGTGTGCCCCACAGGCAGTGGCAGAGGAATCCCTGCTCTGGGTGGGCTCAGAACTGTTTGCTAGAGCCACTCATGTCCCATGGGCAGCTATGGAGTAGTTCTCCATTCTGGGCTGACCCAAAACTGCTTGCTAGAGCCATGCACGCCCCACAGGGGCTGGCAGAGGAGTCCCCCACTCTGGTCAGGCCCAGCAAGCTGTAAATCCAAGGAAGAACATTTAAGAACACAAATACAGGTACAAAGCATGCCCCAGAACTGTTTGGTAGAGCCTCATGGGCAGTGGGTGGCCGCAGAGGAGTCCCCAGTTCCAGGCAGGGACAGAACTCCTTGCTAGAGCCATGTGTGCCCCGGGCAGCAGTGGAGGAGTCCCCTACTTGGGTGGGCCCAGACCTCCTTGCTAGAGTCAAGCAGGCCACAGGAGGCAGAGGAGATCCCAGCTCCAGTACCCCGCTCCGGGTGGGCCTAGAACTTTTTGCTAGAGCCACGTGAGTCCCGTGGGTGGTGGAAAAGGAGTTCCCCACTTCAGGCTCCTGTGCCAAGAAGGACCAGATTGGCTAGCTAGTGCTGCACAAGTCCAGCGGGTGGCGGCCAAGGAATCCTCTGCTCCCCATTTCCCTGCCCCCATGGTTTCCCCAGCAGGGGTGAACTAGGACTGATTCAGCTGCTGCTGTTCCCCTGCCCCAAGGTTGCCCTGGCAGGCGAACTAGGACTGATCTGTTTGCGCACGTGCCCTGCACCACTGCTGCTGTTCCCCTGCTCCCCCCCCCCCGTTGCTCTGGTGGGGCTGAACTAGGACTGATCTAGCTGCAGCAGTACCCCTGATCCCTGGTTGCCCCAGTGGGGCTGAACTAGGACTGATCCGGCTTCTGCCATTCCCCTTCCCCTCAGTCGCCAAACGAGGCCAAACGAGGGGCCAAACGAGGATTGATCTGGCTGCTGACATTTTTCTGCCCCACCGGCACACTGGCGGGGCCAAATGAGGATTGACCTGGCCACCACTGTTCCCCTGCTTCGCCCTTCCCCCGTCAACCCAGCAGGCTGAAGTAGGACTGATTAGGCCACTCTTGTGCTCCATGCAGCCGCTGTCATTCACATGTCCCCTGGTAACTCAGGCGGGGCCGAACTAGGACTGATCTGGCTGCGTCAGCACTCAGCACCACCACTGCAGTTCCCCTGCTCCCCCCCCCCGTCACCCTGGTGGAGCCGAACTAAGACTGATCCGGCAGCTGCCAGTTTCCTGCCCGCTGGGTGCCCCAGCAGGCCAAATGAGGTCTGATCTGGCTACGCATGCTCCCATGCAGCTGCTGTCATTCTGCTGCACCCTCGTTGCCCCAGCACCCAAGAAATGGGAGAAGATGACAGACATGCCCTGTCTCTCAGGGCAACCAGAAGAAGCCACTGACTAAAGGGTTCTGATAAGGTCTCTAAACAGAGTAAACTCAGCATAGGATGGAATCAGCAGAAAAACTCTGGCAACTTGAATAACTAGAGTAGATCAACTCCCCCAAAGAAAAATGGGGCAGATGCAATTGAACACCCCATCTATAAACAGATGGCTGAGATGTCAGAAATTGAGTTGAGAATTTGGATAGCAAATAAGATTAGCAGAATGGAAGAAAGAAGGGAATTAGAATTTAAAGAAGTTATTCAAAAGATATCTCAAAAATTATTCAAAAGATGTCTCAAGAATTCAATGATTTCAAAGATAAAATGATCAAAGATTTTGAAAGACTGAGACAAGAGGTTACAGCCCTCAAGGATCTGAAAAATATGGTGGAATCCCTCTGTAACAGAGTGGAACAGGCAAGAAGAAAGGATCTCTGACTTTGAAGACAAAGCTTTTGAACAAGCCCAGAAGTGCAAAGATCCAAAGAAATGGAGAGCAAAAATGGATTGTTCTCTCAGAGAGCTCTTGGATACTTTGAAGAAAACTAATATTCACTTTATCGGAATCCCTGAAGGCGATGAAGTTGCTTCACAAAACACAGAGGCTCTTCTTCATGAAATTATGAAAGAGAACTTTCCAGACATGCCAAGAGATTCTG